ACAGAAAAGTGGCAATGTGCCCAATTTGGGTGCTAACATTCTCATGTTGCAGAGTTATCTAAAGAGTGAAAGAATTTCAGATGCTGTAGATTTTTTCAGTGATTTGGGCCAGAAAGGAAAGGTCGGGATAAAATTGTACAACACCATGATTGTTGGTCTCTGCAAAGTCGCTAATGCAGATATGGCATTAGAAATCTTGGAAAAAATGAAGATTGATGGACGGGTTCCAAGCAATGAATGCTATGAACTTCTTATAAAGCTGCTTTGCTCAATTAAGAAATATGATAAGGCGATTCATGTTATTAATGGCATGGAGAAAGTTGGGCGCCGCATTACATCCTTTGTTGGTAATACTCTTTTGATGCATGCCTTCAAGACTCAAGATCTCTATGAGGCCTGGATTCGGTTGGTAGATGTGCAGATTGAGACATCTAAGATTTCATTGCTTGGCCGGCTCATTGGAGCAGTTTCTGGCGGTATTAGAGTGAGTGAAGATATTGAAAACTTAGAAGAAGTAATTCAGCTGTGCTTCCAGCCTGACATCTTTACTTACAATATATTATTAGAGCAACTAAGCAAGACTAATATAGATCATGCTTGTGAATTTTTCAATAAGATATGTCAGAAGGGTTATGAGCCCAACCAATGGACTTATAAATTCATAATTCGTGGTCTTTACAGATCTGGGAGGACAGAGGAGGCTAGAAAATTGGAGGAGATGTATTGGAGAGGTCTTGAGACTGTCCATATCAGAAATTTGTGTAGTGGGTATTTACTTAGCTAAGTTCTGGCGTTTTAAAGTAGCTAGAAGCAAAGCATTCGCATTCAGAGCGACAGACAAGAATTTTTGGGAAATAATGTGTATTTTTGTGCCTTAATTTGATTGAATACATGAAATATCTCAATCGAGCTCTATGTATATTACTTTAACTCTCTGTAGTTCAATAATCACCTACAAGAAAGAAATTTAATGTAATTTTTTAGATGGCATTGGCATCAGGTATTTTTCATTATGGGTTGGAGAAGTTGTCACTCTGAAAATTTTAATTGTATACCATATACGCATTAGAAGTAGAGAACAAGTGCGGCAGGAATAAATAATACTACGTGAATTTTGTTGTGTTCTTTGCTTTGCAATGATCTATGCGTGCTTGAACTGGGCTTCAGCCACTGCAGTTCGGTGTTTGTTTCAATTGGTTTTCTTCTATTGTTTGCAATGGTGTGAAAGAAATATAATTGATGTCCCTGTTAGGGAAGTTTCAAATCATGTTTGGAAATGTCTTTGTGGCATATGCATATAAAGTTGAATAGTTATGGCTTGAGTTTATCTCTTCAACTGATTTGATGAGCCGACTGAATGTGAATCTAACTCATCAACTGTATATGCATATGCTTCTGCAACATGTTTTCCATTTATGGTTAGATATATGGATACTAACGATAATCTCCATGCAGCAAGTGCGTTAAGCTTTGAAAGTGAAGATATGGAGTTAAGATCAATGCAGTATGGCTCACACAGGTCAACCTCAAGAATGCAATTGGACTTTCAGAAATAATGGAAGGTTGAAGAGCGGCAACCACGAGAATAGGTACTATCTTTCAAGCTTCAGTTCATGGTATTGAATATCATGGAATTAGATATTGCCTCATAGTATCATTCAGAAATCTTATCTTTAGATTTTAGCTTAAGTTCTATACCTAGCTTACAGGTTGTTAAAGGTCAAATGCCCCAATGCCTTCACTTTGTTGGCAATATCAGTTTTCCGTGCCTAATGGAGTTTATAGTCAACCTGAGTAATTGAAACCACCTAACCAACGCATTAATGTTGAAGATTAAAGTACGTTCCGGGTAAGAAGAAAACTGATGGCTCAACTAGTTTCAAAAGTTGGCCTAACTCTTTGACTACTCAAAACACTTTTGAGAGTCTCCAAAATATGCCTTTCGTGTATCTGGAAGTAGAGGTGGGAATTAGGCTCAGACCCAAAAAGCTCAACCCAAAAAACCGGACCTAGGACCGGTCTTTGGGAGGAGGACTGAACCAGGCCCAAGGGAGGAGGGTCCGAGGCCCAAGGCCGGTCCCAACCACCCCCCTCCCCCCAATTTCCTTTTAACCCTTATAAAATATCCCACATTCCCTTATTTAATAGAATTCACAATAAATGTAAGGGTTAAATTGAAAATTTACCAAAAAACTTTTCTAGGCCTATGCGATTTGGTCTCCAGACCTTGAGGGCCCAAGCTCAGGACCGACTGGGCCCGGGCCTTTCCCACCTCTATTCGGAAGAGTAATTGTATATTGGTGAAGTGTGTGTTCCAGAATTATTTATGTAGTATTGTGGAACCGACTGCTATATCATTTGGGATATAAAATTGGCCGTCTATGGAAAGTTATTGTTCTTAGAATTGTCGACCTCCATTATTGAGTTCATAAGTTGGTTCGCATTTGATTTTCAATCGTCCTACACGATTTTGATATCTTAAAGTGGTGTAAAACTGTAAACACTTACTGTGGCCATGCTATCTTACAGCTATCAATTAGATCTAGATCCATTGGATAACCTTACCATGATAAGGTAGATAATAGTGAGATTTGTTATAAAATTATATATTCTGGAGATATACAGTAATATGGAGATGATAAAATTGTTTGAAGCAAACTACTTGTTGGTATTTTGGCGTTCGCTTAGGATTCTTGGGTGTATTACTAAAGAGGTCCTAATTTTGAATCTCCACGACTATTAATGTTGGAATCCCACATCGACTAAGCACGCTCAAACCTATTGAGTTATAAGAGGGGTAATCCTCCCATTCAACAAGGCCTTATTGGGTGAGGAGTCAAGATTCACCTCAAATTCTATCATGGTATCAGAGCCTAGGTTCAGTTGAGTTGAGCGCTTGACCAACGGTGAGGAGTTAGAGCCAGCAACTACCTCATCAACAAGCATGACCTAATATATGGGCTTGATCGTGGGGGAGTGTTAGAGTCTCATATCAACTAGCACGCTCAAACCTATTGGGTTATAAGAGGAGTAATCCTCCCATTCAACCAACATTTAACAAGACCTTATTAGATGGTGAGTCAACTCACCTCAAATTCTATCAATTAATAGGGTAACTACTGAAGGCTTATTTGGCCGTTAACTTCAGTCCCCCAGGTCAGTTGAGTGCACGTAAGTGTTTAGACACCCTCGAAAAAAAAAAAAAAAAAAATTTGTTTGAAGCATTAGTAGAAGCAAAAGCACCCCTTACTCTAGGTGACCGATGTTTCGATATAATTATTAGGTGTATTATTTAAAAAGGTTCTGAGTTTGAGTCTGTCCCGATTATTAATAGGGGTGGCCATCAAAGTTTTTATCCGATTAATAGTTCTATGGTCCTGAGAAATTAATTGAGGTGGGAACCTATTTAATTATTAAATGAATAAGATAACATCAATGCTATTTCACCCTAATTGACTTTACTCTATAGGTTGCCCCATTCATATTCCTAACTATCCATAATTTAACAGCAATTTTGACATTGAATTTCATAATAAAGCCCCATTAACAAACCCCAATTAATGAGTGTCTATTGAAGGAATTTAATGAACATTTAATAGAAATTACTTTCCTTGGACTAAACTGGTAATTAGTTCTTCATTTATTATTCTTCAATTCAATATCTACTCCTTTTTTATTAAATATCATAACGAATTTAATATTTAAAAAAAAATTCATTTTACAAAAATCTTGGCTTTGTTTGGTTGATTTTGGATATACTACTTTTAGTATTCCCAAAAAAGTTAAACAGTAAAATACCCAAAAACTCACAATATTATTTAACTTTATTCAACATTTTTTAAACCACCTAAATTTGTTAATCAATTAAATACCCCTAAATATTTTTAATATTTTGTTACGCGGCGCCTCCGGCCACCCTCCCATGGTGGCCGGCTGTCCGTATTTGAGGGTGGATTGGGGGTGTTTTTGTTAACTTTTAATATTTATTATAGGGTGTTTTGTAAAAAAACAAACATAGGGGTATTTTAGCAATTTGTAAATCCTACATCGTAATACCCGCCCAATTTAACTTTTTTTTAACTTTTTTCAAAAATTTTTTTCAAAAAAAAAAAAATTGTGAACCAAACGGAGCCCTTATATTTGGTATTTGAAATGTGTTTAATTTCATTTCTCTTTTATTTATTTATTTTTAATTTGGTCAATATCACATGTCGAAATCAAAATTTCAAATGGATTACCCTATCACATGATATCAATTGTGAACCATACAGGAAAATTTTCTTTCGTAATGAAAGAGACGACTTACCATTTTTTCACTGCAGCCATTTGTCGGTTGTCGGTCGCGATTTACAGTGAAGCGCGTCATGACATTTTTTAAATTTAATAGTACAGTTTGCTAACTCATGATCACACATGTAAGTAAGACACATAAATCTTTTCAATTATTATACAATTAAAAAATATAAATAATACTTTATTAATTTTTAAAATATTTGAATATATATATTTCATATTTAACTACTTGTTTTTTTTTTTTTTTTATTTATGGATTATAATATAACTTTTATTTATATAAAAATGTACAAATAAAATAAAAATGACTCAAAAAAGCATGCATATTTTTTATTTCTCTCTTATCATGAGAGGTACCCCTACATAATAAATTTTAATATTTATATTTAATTTAAAAAAATTGATTTACCTTCGAATATTTTCCTAACTTTAACATAAAATAATAGATTTAATTTACTGCATCAATAAATTAGAAACATATAATAATAATAATTAAAATTTTTACGATTCATATTATGAGAAAATATAACGAAGCATATTTTATATTTGGACAATGTATATATATTTACTTTAGAGCGTAATATATATTCTCATATTTAGCTCACTCATTTTTTTTTTTAAATTAAAAGTATAAAATAAAATAAAACAGCTTTAACATCAAATAATTGAAAACATTTCTTTTAATTAATAACTCAAAAGCAAACCAAAACCCGAAGGCCTAAAGCTCTGTCTCTCTCTCTCTCTGCCTAACTTACTTTTGACATTTTGGGACTGTTTCTTTCCATTTTACTTATTCATTACAATTTCGAAGGCATAAACGCGAACGATTTGATAAATTTTGGTCAGTTGGGTTGGAATCTGAGTCAAATCTCACTCAAGTATAGCATAAATAACATTGATCTGCAGCTGGGTTTGTTGTGAATCGTAAGAAAGTTGGACTCAAAACCCAGATGTCTCCCTCTAATGGAAGTTATTCTGGCGGTGGAGAGGATCAAACAGGAACAATTATATCGAAACACCCGTTCCAAGATGGATACTCTTGCTGGTGTCGCCATCAAGTATGGTGTTGAGGTATCTCTCTTTGTTTTTCGCTTTAAATTTCATCGGGGTTTGTGTTTCTCTGTCACGATCTGGTGAAATACACTGAGGGTTTTGGCTTTTTTTTTTTTGTGGGATTTTTTCGAATGGGTTTTGATCGATTTTGTAGTGCGTTTTTTGGAATTGTTTGTAATGTTGGTTTGATTTGATATGTAATGATGAGAGTTTGGTGTGTGCATATATATATATATATATATTTTAATTTTTACGGCGGCGTCTTATGAAATGGGTTGTGATTTATTTTTTAGTAGGTGTTTAGAATTTTTGAACGAGTTGATGAGAAATGTTTGTATTAGTTGTTTGTTTAGTTTGACAGGTGATGATGGGAGTTTGGTTAATATTTTTTGAAACAAAGTGATATTTTCAGTACATTTTTGTTTGTTGCATTTTGTCAAATGGGTTGTGATTAATTTTGTTGTAGATGGTAAGAGAATTTTGTTTGGTTTGATGGGTAAATTTGAGACTTTGGTAAATGTATTTGGAACACAGTGAGTGTTTTAAGTTTTTGTTGTTTGTGGCATTTTATTGAATGGATTGCGATAAATTTTATAATTGATGTTGAGAAATGTTTGTATTGTGTGTTTGGTTTGATGAGTAATGATGAGAGTTTGGTGAATGTTTTTCAATAGGTGGCTGACATCAAAAGGCTGAATGGGTTGGCTACAGATCTTCAAATGTTTGCTTTGAAAACATTGCAGATACCATTACCAGGAAGACATCCACCATCTCCTTGTTTGTCTGACGGTTCTGCCTCTTCAGGGTACAATTATAGCACTCCCAAGTCTATTTTTTTCCATTTACATTCTTTTGTTCATCTTTTTCTGGCACACTTGCTTGTTTTCATTTCCTGAAACATATATGTCTATGTTCCACAAGCATCTGCTGAATGTACAGCGTTGTGAATTGGTTGTTCTGGCACCTATTGCAGAAAAACCTTGATTCTAACTCTCTCTTTAGCTCTCTAATCTAAATTTTTTTCATAAGTTTAGAGGACATGTAGGGAAAGTGGGAGGAAAAAGGGAACTTAAGTGAAAGTGATGAGAGAAACATATATTGTGTCTATTATTCTATGATTTGATTTGTGGAAGTGCTACACTGAGGTTATTTGGAATTACCCTTCAGAATAATTATATGGGTCTTTTCTATTATACTGGGAGGTCTGAATATTGAGTCTTTTGTGAGGATGTGGTGGTTCTGATCTGATGATCCAGCCTGCTATGTACTGATACTTCACTATATTATAGAGTGACCCTAATATATATCATTCACTAAATTGAGACATTGATTGTTTTACATCACACGTGCCAAGTGTCCTTTTACCTTTGTGAATTTGGGTGGTATAATTGATATGCTTTTTCTGTATCCTCTAAGAAAAATTACAGTATTATTACTCACCTTGCTCTTTTGTGATTAGTATGATGCTTAAGGAGACATGTAATATGGTTTATTTTAAGTCAACATTGACTACCAAATGCATTATTTTGTTGTTCACAAGTAGATTCGCTAATAGTTGAAAATCCATGCCTATTGCTAGGAATAGTTGTTGATATCTTTCTGTGTTGTCATACCCTTGTGTCTTGAAAGTTTAGTTAATTTTTTTTACGTGTCTGACACATTGTGTCCTCATTAGACTGCAAGAGTGATGTGGTTGTTCTATGAAACTACTGTTCTAACTGTTTATTAAGAAGTTCTATTGCTATTCCTCCTTTTTCTTTTAATTTCTAAAACTGCAATAGTGAATTCATATTTGTTGGAGTTATAATCATAATATATGAGAATGACTCAATTGTGATAAGTAAAAAAATATTGGTAAGAGGAAATTTTCTTTATACACATCTAGTTTTATGCACATTTCCCACTTTTATGAATGAAAAAACATAGCCTTTAAGCGTTTGTCTTAATATTATTCTTAAAAGGCTCAACTACCGAATTGAGAGCTTCTTTTGAATAAAATACCTTCATCACAAAGTCTAACATGTAATTAGGAATATATGTTTATTTAAATGCCCATGTATGGTTAGTGTCTTTGTTTTTGTAATGTTGACACATTTCTAGCATAGATCATAGTGAAAGATTTATATTTGGAATTAGAGTATCATCTTTCTTTAGTATTTTTTGACTTGCATCATAAAAATTGTTTGCTACCTAGTTGTTGTAAATACTAGTGATGATTCTTTCTACTATTGTCTTTCATGTACAACAATGACTTCATAAAGATAGAAAGATTGGGAGATTTGTCCTCTGTGTGGTAAAAAAATTTATACTGGTAAAAACTCTTGTATGACATAACATGTAATTTGTCTCGTATGTTCACCATACTGCCTCATGTGAATAAATACTGGGGATTTTCCTCTCCAGGGAACTATCCCCTATTGTAATGTGAGCCTTTTTCTTGCCCTAGAATTAGAGTTTCTTCTTTACTAACTGTTCTCTATCTTCCATCATAATGGCTTATTTCTGGACATGCTCCTCATCTGCACCTTTTAATTATCATTGACCACATCAGTCTTGGATATATATCTTAATTGTAGCCTTTTATTTGGATAGAAAGTGGCAGTCTCTATGATCAATACCCTTTGCTGCATATTGTCTAGATGCTCCAGTAAGCTAAGTGTTTATCTAAAAGGCAATAGGCTTGGCTTTGTTTGCTCATGTCTCACTTGGCTTCCTCAAATGGTGTTACAACCAAATTAGTGTTTTCTATTCTGTATGGAAATCAATTTGTACGTGGAATTTTGATTTTCTAGCTATTATATCATTCTGACAGAAAGCATTTTGATGGTGGGTAGCTTTTGCCCCCAAGTTTTTGTCTTTTTTTACCTTTTAATTCATGGTATATAGAATAGAGCTGTAGATTTATGTATCTGTGTGTACATATGAATGCATATTTCCCAAGAGATTTGAGACTGGTGTAGGTACAGGGCTAATTCTTTTAGATGTAAATGTATTATCTAAAAATTAAAATATTAAAGACTTTTTCTAGGATTTTGCTCATTAGTAGACAAGGTCTAATCTTTGTGTCAGTTATCTATTCCAGATTTGCTGTGACTTGACTTGCTGTGCTATTACTTATTGCAGAGAAAACTGTAAAGAAAGGACACCCCCACGTCTAGGCTATTCTAATATGTTGGAGTCATTAGAGTCCCTAAGAATAAAATCATCTCAACAGAAGGTTTCTCCTGCCTCGAGAACTTTAAAGAAGGCCTCTCCAGCTATGAGCACTCTACAGAATTACTATGGCCTTAAACCTCCAAATCACAAGGGTGCTTCTGAAGGCATGGAGATGGCAGTTTATAGAACAAGGAGTTCAGATTACCTAAATGAAGAACTGCTTGCTGAGACCTCACCAATGTCTGATCTTTTTTCAAACTTCCACCAAGAGCGAAGACACTCAGCTAATGGATTTATTCATGAGAATGGTGCAATGGCTGACTATGTGCCTCTTGCTGAAGCAGGTGAGTCAGAGGGGGAGAAATCTAATGAGAAGTCTGTCCGAAGGCGTCAGAAAGCTGAAATTGATACACCTGAAAGGTTATTGAAAGAAGAAAATGGTGGTGGAAGCAGTGGTTTTTCACCTGTAACAGGAAAGGGTTTAGCCATGAGGCCAAAATCAACCAGTCGAACAGCACTGGCCACTGATTCAGAGTCGGGCTGGCTGAGTACTATTCCAGTGGGCTTGGGAGATTCTATAATTACTGATGGACCTGTTGGGGTTCGTAAATCATCAAGCACGCCAAGCTTCCTAGACCAGGATAGCAGTAGTTCATCCGTTTGGCCAACTACGAAATGGACTTTGAAACCTGACTTGCAGGCTCTCTCAACTGCAGCTATCACAAGACCAATCTTGAATGGTTTACCAAAGCCTATAAGTGGTCGCAGGGGTAAAGCTGCCCTTGATTAGCTTACACTCCAGCACACTGGTAAAATCAATTTTTTTTTTTTCTTCACTTTGGTCTCGTGGAATCGAATTTCTCAGCAATAGCTACAAAGTGTAATTAAAAGGTAAAGCCTGAAAAAAAAGAGTAGCTAAAATGAATACATATAGAGATTTCTGTTTCATTTCAAACGGTTTAGCAATGTGCATGGTATGATTATGAATGCGGATAGTGATTAGAGACTGAAGCAGCAGCTGCATCAGCATCTGGAGAAAAGTATGTAATGAAGAGGGTATGCATCTATATTTCTTACTTATTTAAATTTTATTGTCCAGAAAAATAATTCACCCATTGTAGAGGAGTTTAAACCTAGATTAGCAATGTCATCGTCTTATTTTGTCGATGAATCAAGTATACGTGTTCATTATATTGATTCTTCACCTGATTTGCAATTATGTGATTGTATAATTTGGTGCTCATTTGAAACGTTATGAGAGAATATATAATGATTTCTTCAAGAAAATCCCTTTACACTTAATTGAACCCCTTTAATTTATTGAATCTAAAGTTTCTGAAGGGATCCATATGTTATAGAAAATGTACTTGTTTTGTTCTTTTATTGACGATTTATTATACCAGATTAAAACAATTTAGTGGAAGATGATAATGGTCTATTTTTTAAGATTTTGCTATGTTATATGGAATGTGATTAAGGTTTCCATGGTATGGAATTCGGCAGAACCAGCAGAGAAGCTCTCCAAAGCTGTGTGTCTTTTGTTTTAATTGTAGTAAGCAATACAAAGAACCCCAATTGTTGCTTTTTTAAACAATGGATTAATGCTTAATTCGATTAAAAATTATAACAACAAAAATCGCATTTTATTGAAAGTTGATTAAAAAAATCATTTTTTGATGTGTACTGAACAAGATAGGTATTAATGGTGTACTATTGAGTGCAAGTAATACCATCCTTTATAATATAAACGTAATCCCTGAGGAGAGATTTTATCATGGATAAGAGATTCTATAAGACATTATATTACTACCATGTTTTCTAATCATATATGATATGTACATTCTTTAAGTTAGTGTAAGCCACACCTTTGTGTTATTCATTCATATTTATATCCAAACCTTTCTTTAGTGCATATTACGAAACGTCACATAAAAAATAAATTATATATATATTATGTAAATGACATTACTCATGATCTGATCGACCAAAATTCCTTCTCTTTCTAATGTAATAACCTTCTTAGAAGTTATTTTAATTTACTATTATTACTAAAATATTATTACATGTAATTGAAACAGTTACTTGTAACAAAAAAATACATTACATTTACATCCCATAGTGATGACTGCACTAACCTATTTATTTTAAGTTTTTAGTACCTCTCTTACTCCAACCCAGAATTTTGATGATAAATGAATGGTAAGCAGCAGCCCAGGTAACAAAACATCTGTGTGCTTCATTGTCCACAAAAATTGGCAAATTCCAAAATGACAAGATTCATGTAGAAACTAGATACCATTAATTAGAACAAAACTATAGATTGCACCAAGCCAATCAATTACATCAGTCTAGCAGTCGAGGATCTAAACAACTTTTCAATCATAATCGTGGTGGAATAAATAGTTTAAATAGTCGAGGTTGAGGGGGGGTATAATGAAATCTCCAAAAAAGTGTTCATGAAAAATTTAAGAGCCTTCAATGTAAGAAACTCAATCTCTAAGCAAAATATGGATCTTCTATCACTAACACTATAATTGCAAGACTCAAGCTCTCACAGTTTCTTTTACCATATGACTCTTCCGCCTGCTGCGATTCTCACCACCGATTATTAGGTGGCTTGACCTTGTAAATACGAACTATCCAGTTAGATGTCGTGAATGCCTCTTCCAAATATTCAAGTTTCACATCCTTATTTCCTATTTCAACCCCCCTGGCACGATCATACCTGCCAACACAAAAAGCAATTACAATGATTTTAGGCTTGTCTGAAAGCATAGCAAAAGCCTTCACTTGAGAAAAATGTAGGCACCAATTGACGCAAACTGCTGGGAAATCAAAGCAGGTTGCCTGGAAGGTGACCCAATTCATAAGTTGAAGTTGATATATGAGAAGGGTCTCTTAAAAAGGCTAAATCCTATGCCATTTTCCTCTTCTCTCCCTTCTCATTAAAGTTAAAACACATAAAAACTCAGTAAACATTTAACTTACAAAACAAAACAAAGAAAATACTCAAATTAAAATAAATGTTTAAGAGATTTGCTAGGCAGATTAGTTGACGAAGATTTAAAGGAGTTAATGACAATTATCACCCAACTGTTTTATTGAAGAACAAAATCCCCTAAGATTTGGGTGTTTAAATAAATGGCAGAAGGGTAATTAGGTCAATATCCATAACACATCATGGGGCGAGTTTAATAGCTCACTAATGGCAGGAGGATTTGTGTTACTTCTGAAACCTAAGGGTGATATTTGTTATTCAATAAAATCTGAGGGGGTTCGATATCATTAAATCTTTGATGAAATCTCACACAACCACCAGCATACCATCACACAAACATACGGAAGATCAACTTAACATACTACCCACACTCAAAACCCAAGGTAAACACAAGAACAAGAGAGGAGACAGCTACATAAAGGAAAAGAGATGTGACCAAAAAATACCGGATATATTTATTACTTAACAGAAGGTAAGTACAGGAAAATATTGAAAAGTCCATCCCAGTTTAATTTGGTTTAAACACCATCCACATAGAGAAATCATTTATGCAATTGTCATTTTTCTCTATGTGCTACTACTACTTCATCGGCGTGAAACCCTAAATCAACTATTACTACAAGTCTGGTTATACATAAAAGTTAACTTAGTGAAAGAAAGGTCAAAATGTTGAATTTCCAGGACTGTAAGCAATGCCCTTGTCCTTCTATCTCATTTGCTTGTTACATGCAGCAAGGGCCACATTCTAACCAGAGAAGAAAAGTAAAATGTTGAATCTCTCAGCTTCAAACTTTTTTTTTTTTTTAACTTAGAAGTTTTATTCTAAATAACCTTAATAGCACATTTTTCAGAATTTACAGGTGTAGGATCATTCCATCTGTCTACGAATACCAATGGATAAACTTTATGGAATATTATAATAGGGATTACATCAGCTAAGAACCTTTCAGTTCCTTCATTAGCATCACATGCCACACTATCAAGTGATACTGTGACAAGACGTACATCATGAATGTATGTTGTGTGGTATGTAATTACCGAAAAAAGCGGATTTACATTTCACTTACCCAGGTGGTTTGCCATATTCTGTTACCAGCTCTCCAAATCGATAGTAGGAAAGCTTGTACCTAATAACAAAAACAAATAAATATATAAGATCAAACTTTCTCTGCACCTAAAAGTTGCACCACACTGAGTCGCAGAGAATTACTTAAACACTTGCAGAAAATGAGAGAAGTTTTCTACTCAGAGGTACCAAATGCTCCCGAGATGCTTCTATATACTAGGTAATTTCTGAATAACTTGCTCTCAAAGTAAATTGTACTATTCTTTAATTCAATACAGCAACATTAAATCATACATAATTAAGTAGGAAACTTTATCTACAGAATCAGAATCAGCCGCTCCACGATTAGAATATGTTGGGGTAGCAATTAGATTTTCAAGTCTTCTACTCTTACTGGATTTAATAGAGGGATTTGAAATACAATGAATTAGTAATTGGAAAATTGGAAATATCTGAAGACCCTTTTGATCTAGAATTTATATATGATTTTTCACTTTTGAAAACAATGGATTAAAAAAAAAAAAAAAAAAAAAAAAAAATTAAGAAAACTTGTTTGGGGAAATATTGTCAAAAAGAGCTCTTGAATACATCCTATAACTAATGTAAAATCTGAAAAAAAAAAAAAAAAAAAAAACATGTTTTTTTTTATCTGTTTTTCATAATTTTTGAACTCTCAAAACACTATTTTAACAACTAGTTAGAATGCTAAAATATTATTGAAATCTAACTTCGATTAAATCTTAGTTTCTGAAAATTATTTTGAAATCACTATGTGCCCTTTGACTTTCATGTATATGTAATTCAGGTAGTAGAAGACTGGAAGTATCAGAGGACTTAGCAAAACAAATGTGGTATCCAAGTTTAGACATCTCACCACATTACATGTAATACCAAAACCCAAACCACAATTTGTTCTCTGCCTATCTTAATGTTATATAGAAAGACCAAAATCCATCATTATCATTTCCCCAGTAACACAATATAGAGAAAAAAACGAATCCAAATCAGGCTGAAAGTGTATTAATCAATTCTTGTTATGCAACACTCCATCAGAAACAGTATATGACTAAATACGCAATAGAAAAATACTAAGAAACTTACATGAGGCAATTCAACATTTTGGGTGCAGCCCCTTTGTCAACACGATACTCCCCATTAACAAGGTAGTCAGGTTCCTTGATCACAGGGAATATTCCACCTCCAATTCTAACCATCCACAAAAATCTAGCACAAAAAAGTTTCAGCATTAATTATCTTTATAAGAATACACAATAAAAATACGTGGCTGATAAAGATAGAGTTCTAAAAGCATAATGATAATCCCTTCTTCAACAAGAAATGATCACCTTTAATTATAAGCCGAAGAGGAAATTAACATGATTTCATTACCCTTATTGAATATTCTTGATAACTTTAACCAGATAAAGTTTGACTATTCAAACATTTTTAAAGAGTACAGAATTAACCCACAATTGTACCGCCATCCTTTCTTCCACAATACGAGAAAGGGCTTTTGGAGTCAGGTGGCAGTAAAATGCTTAAATATGTTCATCATCACTACCATTAAATTCAAAATAAAAGTTGAAAATTAACAGAAAATAGAAAAAATATATTATGGATCTTGCAAGTTTGTGGACAAATATTTAAAATGTAACTCAGAGACTTACTTGTTTATATCATCAGATGAGTAACCAGTGACACCTCCAAAAACAACTAACACATAACCCACATCAAGTGATCTCATTATCTCATACGCTTCATCCTCATAAGAAGACATTGCACGTCCAACAGTAGCAATGTGAGTATTGTTCCAGGTATTATTATCAACAATAACAGTTCTGTTTCCCATGGCAGTGATTTGGTACCCATAATCCCACCAGGACATCACTTTAGCATCAGGGGGAGTATTTTGCCGAAGCCAAAAGTAAGCCTCACGGTAATCGTCAAAGATGACTCTATTGCCATGGGCACCCCTTGCAGCCAAGACAATTGAGGGAGATGAGTATGCCTCAGATGTGACCCAGGTACAGTGGGTGACATACTTACTGAGCAGGAAAAAAGCACCGACAAGCAATGCAATAGCGCCATTTTTTTGGAATGGCTGGGATTGATCAGGTAGAGCCTGCTCATGCAACAAACAAGAAAAATATTATCTTTTTAAGCAGAACTACCATTAAGGGGGAAAAACCCATAAAAATGGGCAATTGACAGAAAAGAAACACCCATTTATATGTTGAACAACCTCTGACAGCTAGTTACAGATTTGATAGCAGATTATACACAGTAATCAATGCAGTAATCGTATTTCTTATAAAAAAAACAATATGAAGGAATGAAATACTGATAAATAACAAGAAAATTGCTACACCTATGAAACGCAAAAATAAAACCACTATATTTTATGACGATGGACAACAAAAAGGCTGAATATAGTACTAAATCTCACCCTTGAAGAGGCCTTTGAACCACTAGTTCCTCTGGTGGAACCAGTCGTGGTAGTCTTGCCTTTTGACCTTAACACCATAGTCAAATTCTTTATAGTGGCAGAAACAGCAATTGCACTGATTAGGCACACGGCAGGGGTGGCAACAAGAATCAACCGAACCATAACACCAGCAAAATACATGCTTGTGAGGCCATACATAACAATAAATATAGTGGCATCTGACAACCTCTTGAAGCAGAAATAGAGACCAGCTGGGAAAAGGAAAAGCAGGATATGAAAATCAAACATGAAAGATGACCATGCTGTTGGCTGATGCTCAGAGACAGACGCAATAATTGGTATGTGATCCTTAGCGTACGTTGGATCTAGCAAGGAATAAAATCGGCCTGTCCACGGAGAAATATACCCAGATGCCATACCCAGTCCCAGGGCAACAGCACCTACACCTGCCGCACTGCCCACAGTAATCCTCAAAAAGGCTTGAAACAGCTTTGTGTCACTTAGCATGTACTTAACCCAATCTAAGAGGTAAAACACCTGCACCAATTAATTCAATTAATGACGCATACAACTTTCCACTTTAAGACATTAACCTCATAAATACATTCAGCAAAATTCATCAAAATTTTAAAATTTCCCACAACGACCAGCATAGCCATGATGGTACCATAAAATTACACACGCACACACAAACATATGAGAATTAAAATTAAAAAAACGAATGAAAAGAAACCCTCACATTGGAAAACTGTTTAGAAATGATCCAAAAACTGAAAAAAAATAGCATATTTGGATTTCTCATAATGAAAATGCATGAAAAACTCAATTACTTGGCTGGCAGTAACATACACCATTTTCTAAAAGTGACAATATCAAACCGCCACTTACTTAAGCTTTCATTATCTGCTTAAAGATAACATAAACACCCAATTTAATATGCATTCACACAACACAATCATATTCAAAATGCATCATTTTCTATTTCTAAAACCAACAAATGCACATATAGAAATAAGTAAAAAGCCGAACCTGCATCAAGAAGAACACGCCCATGGCGGCCATATGTTCCCCAGACTGCACGTGCTGAAATCCAACAAACTGAATTTGCATAGCCAGCAACATTCCCAAAATATACATACAATTATATGCAATATAAAGCCTCATCGAATACCTCCCAGTAATCAAAAGCACCAACACATAAAGCGGGATCAAATTAATAATAAAAATATAACCACCCCACGCCGAAACCATGTAAAAATACCCAAATGCCGACGCCAAACTCCACGCCAAAGACCCCGTATTCACCGCCTTCACAAACAAATAAAAGGTCAGCAACAGCGCGAATATCGCCACCCCTTCGTTATCATAAGAACCCGCCACCGATCTCGAAATATAACCGGGACATATAGCGATTAAAGCAGCTGCCACAAGGCCCGCCCCCGAATCCCAGATCTCTTCTCCGAAAAAATACGCAACGAGGGTCGTATTGGAGGCGAAAAACGGCGCCGTTAAAACGCAGACTTCCCGGATGTGAACGGTGAACCGGAGGAACCGGAGGGCCCAGTAAATGATGGCGGCCGTGACCATGAGACCCGGGTAAAGGGTCCCACCGATGATTCGGCCAAGTGGGTACCACGATTCGGAGTCGAACCAGTTCCAGAAGTCGTAGAAGCCCTTCTCGGTCAAGTAGAGAGTGGTTCTGTAGTTGAAATAAGGGTCGAATTCGTGGATCATGGACTCATAACGGAGAACACTGAAGAGACGAGTGATGAAGGCGAGGATGTAGACTAAACAGAGGATGGAGACGCGAATCAGGAGCTCTTGTTGCTTGGTTTTGAGCTTGAACGATTTGGGAATGAGGTTTGAAAGTAGATCTGAGGGTGATGATCCGAGAGTGGCCGCCATTTTTGGAGAAAATGGGGGGAAATTAAGGGGAATTCTGGGTCTGTGTTTGTGGGAACTGGGGATGAAATTGTGTTAAGGGCATCGATTTTCCATGGAAAATGTTGAAATTTTCTGGGAAAATTTGAAGTGACTGAGTGAGTTTGTGAGGGTTTAAGTATTTATTGATTGCGTTCATGTTGTTGACTTCACAATGCACATGAAATTTCTTTGGTATAATTTCAGAAAAGCCCCAGCAGTTTGGAAAGTATCACTCACCTGCCCTAATAAAAATGAAAAGCTTATTATGTAAGACCGTTTCACCATCTTACATATTTATCCTGTGTTCTATAATAAATAAATAAATATTCTCCAAATCAATCAGTTTTCTATCGGGGGTAGGAATGTACAATCCACATATACTTTAATTTCTTTGATGAAGATTCAGAATCCTGATTCATAAAGGTAATTAAGAACACAAATTCTTAAAACCTTTTTCTTTGTTCAATAAAAGCTTCGACCACTGTGCATTATATTTGATCAATTCATGTCACTTATCTAACCATTTTCAAAATCTGAGTATCCCCCAACCTATTTTGGACTTTGAGTGTCTAGAAGGGAGTTTCCGAATTGCCCACTTTTCTAAGTTTCAGTATATGGAAGCTCGAAGGAGGTGAATAAGAGTTGGATCGTGAGGTTGAGCTAAAGAAAATGCTCATGGCTTCAACATGGTGGAAAACCTATTGGATATGCAAAAATATAGCAATTAATGTGCACTTGGGTTTTTTTTTCCTGAAAGGGTTTAAGGATCAAAGCAATAGCAATGTCCATGAAACTTACAATAATACTTGGCATTCGGCAAAGTTAGAGAAATGCAGCTTCAGTAGTTTTGATTAAGATGGTGCTCAGATTTATAGTATTGTTAATGAGACATGGTGAAATACACAACAAATAGAGGAACATTCTCCAGCCACCACCAAATTGAATGATTGATGATCCTTACTAACAAGCAAAACTTTAATATGACCCAGCTTTATATCGAGGATAAGTTAGATTGGCCATTGTCCCATTAGAAATATAATGTGCCTAAAACCAAAACTAATTTGGCAACAGACTATTTATCATGACTTCCTGCTTTCAACCTGTATACACATTTGGGAGCAAATATATCACATGGCACCAACCTGCTGGAATTCGAATTGCATCGCTAAATACAAGCAGTCGATACTGCATATGGTGATAGGTAAGAGAATTGCTTACGGACCCAGTAACATTACTAGGAGAGTAAGGTAGTACCTATTAACAAAGGCTATATGCAATATAAGTTCTGGAAAAACCTCAGGCTGATCATCAAGTTTGTTAATTCAATTCCATAGAAAATTCCAAATATTGCAGTATCCTTAAAGGAAAAGAAGAAAGAAAGTTTGCGGAAGAGAGAAAAATGGAGAAAAAAATGCTTATTATTGAATGTATAATCAATCCCATGTCATTTTTTTGACAAAGGGAGAACTTCAATCTCCCAAGAACTCTACCAAAATCAAAATCAATTTTAAGATAAACGCAGAGCATCAAAATAGTTTGGATAGGGTATAAAAATGAGTATAGAACATTTAACTTAGATATATATTTTCCCAAACTAACTTGCCAGGCCCCTTTGCTTGAAAACTTCAAGCATGGCAGCACCAATTTTTGCAGGAGACTCTACCACCGTTACGCCAGCTTCCTTAAGGGTCTTAATTTTGTCTTGTGCTGTGCCCTTCCCGCCCGACACAATAGCTGCACATGAACCAAAAAATATAAGCACTTTTGCATGGTTTGATTTTCATTAATTGTTTTTTTGTAAGTAACTGTAATTTGATTTCTACAGTTTTCAAGTCTAAAAACAATTGAACTCTAATATATGTAGATAATGGTGTTAAGCATTCATAATTAAGCATTTAATAAAATAAAGTTTATTCAAAACAATATACCTCCAGCATGACCCATACGACGGCCAGGGGGAGCAGTGAGTCCAGCAATAAAAGCAACAACAGGCTTTTCAGTTCCACTTGCCTGTTTGATTCAGCAATAATCGATTAGAGCACTCATGCACAGAGAATTATAAAATATTTCAGGAGTGATTATAACAATCAGAAGAGAATATGTGCAGTACAAGTTATAAAGGATCAATAGATTTTATTTCGAGGATCATGGAAATATCAATCAAACATTTGATTTCTGCATATCGATTTACCATATACTAGAAAAAGATAAAATGAAAGTGCAAAAGAATTATTGAAGTTTGTTTCCTTAATATCTAAAACAGAAAATGCTCTAGAATAAAAAATATATCCTACATTTATTTAATCTGAAAAAACTTTCATTTCAATTTTCAAAGTAACCACCAATATGGATAAATTAAGGTGTTGTACTGACAAAGAGCATCATAGTTTCTTTCTATTCCTATCTCCTCTGGAGAGAACCAAGTTTATTCTCAATTGTTTTTGGTTCAATTTAGCAAACCGGTATATAAAGAACTTATAAATGCCTGGTTCTTGAATGTAATGGGACACACATTTAACAGCTTTAAGCCACTTTTGACATGATTACATTAGCTGGAAAGACACCATTGAGCTTATCCACAATTAAATAATAAGATATAATAAAAAGAAAATTCAGTGGCACCAAGGTGCTTCAAAATTGATTTAAGAAGTTAAGAGCTATAAATGACAGAAAAGTTCAAACAATATAGAGTTCTTCAAGCATGTAATAATATTTTTCATAATTTTATCTGAATTCAAATCTTAATCATACCAAATTTAACCAAAAGCTAATTTAATATGATTAGCTTCAGATGTTATAAATTGAATATTTGAACCATGAAAATCCTAGGTTTCAGATAGATCATGATAAATTAGCAAGTATTACCTTAATTAAGGCGGCAGCATCTTCTTCTGCAGTTCCACCTATCTCTCCTATAAGAACAATCCCTGAAATGCATGTGACATCATAATTAGACCACTGGATTAATTACATAAGTTACCATCTCATATTACACCACATTTCTTGCATATCTCAGAGATATACTAACATATGGACAAATAAAACAAGGAAAACCCAGAAGGAAGTTCATATAGGTCAAAATACTACAACTAACCCCGACCAATTGTCACCATCTTTTTTCTCTAATTTAAGTAGTTCTTTTGCAATCAATGAAATTTTAGCTAGCTATGTTGCAACAATAAGACAATACTACAAAATGTATAATCAATGATGGAGCCATGACAAGCAAACAACAGTAAAATTGCTATATGCTTGCCAGAGATAGCCCTATTTTGAGTTATGCCTCCTTGTCAATTGACACTTAAATACATGAGAACCCAGCATAAAAGGAGTAGGCCAAAAGAACCGCAACTGATCCATTTTACACATTTAAGTTATATTCAACCCAGACATTTAACCATTCGGTCACATCCCACCTCTAAATTCTCTAAAGTCAAAGAACAATGCCAAGAATTCAAACCTGTTTATTTATTTTTGGGTTGGGGGGGTGGAAGAGGGGAAGAGTTTTGTAATAAGTATAATCTGATTTACTTAAAAGATTGAGAGGTCAAACATATTTTTGTATGGTTTTTGGAATGCTTTTCAGGGACTTTAGGAAAGCTTGTTCTAATTTAGGTCAGCAAGTCCTACCTTTTAACTTCTAGACAACTTAATGAATTTTGAGGCATCTACAGATGTCATTATTCAGTGAACAGCTATAAATATCCTGGGTCATTGGCAATATATTAAAACAAACAAACGATGGAGAGATGTTTCAGTTGAAACTATCAAAGTTAAACCATCGACAGTAGACTAGATTGATTCAGATTTCAAGAACCAGTATACATCTACATATGTGTGCAGACACATTGCACAAACTTCCTGGCATCACCTTCTTCAACAGTGTTTCTTCCGATAAACTCAATGGTACAAACAGTCAAAATAAGCAACATAATAATTCAAAGAAAATTTACCTTCTGTCTGGGGATCAACTAGGAACTTCTCAATGCAATCAACAAAGTTAGTCCCATTAAAAGGATCCCCACCTATACCTACACAGGTTGATTGTCCAAGGCCAACAGCAGTTGTTTGAAAAACCTGAGAAGTAAATAACACAAATAATCATATAAATGAATAACTTAGCACTCACATAATTACATACATCAAGAGATGTAGTCATTAAACTTGGACCAGACATAAATCTTATGCCTTGGGGCAACTGATCAATAATTACACTACAGTTATTGGTCCAAGCACTTGTAAACTAACATAAAAATTATTTTTATTTAGTAATCTTGTTTAAAAAGGAGGAATTTCTTTTTAAATTATTCTAAAATTCCTCTAAATATATGGAGTACAATTAGCATACAAGTTAATACTGTACGTGCAGATAGTTAAAACTTAGGAAATACAGAACCACAATTAGCTCCCCAGAGAGTTATTAAGTTTTCTATAAATTACCAACCAAAATTATCAAGTACATGTGCCAACAAGTAAAACTCAATGTTCAACCTTAGAACTCCAATGCTGGAAAAATGCTTATCTTTTATAACATACATATGTAGGAGAAAAGTACAATGTTAAAGAAAATTGCTAAGGAAACCAGTATATTCTTTGAATATATTAATTTCTTATGGCTATTTTGACTTTTGTTATTGTTGAGCGTTCCACCTAACAACCTAAACGTTCAGGTGGAATTTCCTAACAAAAAAGGAACTGGGAAAAAAAAAGATGAGAACAGATGGAAGAAAGGCATAATAACTCAGTACAAAACAAGGATATTTGTTTTTTCCCAACTATTATTACACAGGGAACTTAAGACAAAAGGATGTAAATCTAGGACATATAGTACTGTAAACTTTCTCTGCAAGTAAGATCAAGTTAAGAAAGCATTATGAGGGAAACAATTGAAACATTAAGCCCATTTAGAATGAGAATTGCAAATGAGCACTTTGCATAGTTTACATGCACCATGGCACCAGTGTAGATAGACACACATAAACACAGAGGTGATAATTGCAGTAGTAATTTATACAGTGCGTATCACAAGTCACTGTCCCTCACCTCACCAGATCTTACAATTAATTAATCAACCCAACAAAACCACATCAATATATGAAATATAATCCTATTTCTTGAAATTAGCATACCAGTGTTATAGACTTGTTGAAAAATACTACCAATCACATTGAAAATCAGAACTTACTGCTTCATAGGTCAATGTACCAGATCGAGAAACGATTCCAATACGCCCAGGTTTATGAATGTACCCAGGCATAATCCCAATTTTACATTCTCCAGGCTTGATGATACCGGGGCAGTTTGGACCAATAAGCCGAGTTTTAGATTGCTGGTTGAGAGCAGCCTTCACTCGTACCTGAAATTACAAATATTAGCTTCAACCCAACTGTCACACCACTATTTTAATCTAACACCAAATTATAGGAATAATATCATTGACCTCTTTTGATTAAACAGATGCAGCCTCCAGTAGTTTCAGAAACTACCACAAACATTCCCTACTAATATCAATGACCTCTTGCAGATTGAAAACATGAATTACTAACACGAATGACCTCTTCCAGATTGAACATATGAACTTAGGACGTTTAAAGATAGTCAAAAAGATCCCTTTGCAAGGCTAATATCATTGGCCATTTAGTTAGATACTTGAGGACTCATGTGACTGCTAAAACTATCACGAATATTCTCAACTAGGTTGATACAAATTGACCTCCTTTAGATTTATTACATACAGAATCAAATGGTTTTGAAAATAATCAAAACCTTCCCTACCAGGCTTAACATCAGTGGCATAATTTTATGATTTCAAGCAGAGTATTGCAATAAATCCCAACTTTTAAGCTCAATTTTGCATTCCAAGCAAAATGAACAAACTGTACAAAATTCACACAGCAATCAAAAAACAATGCCAAATCATTTGAAATACAAAGTCAAACTACCATTAACCATCACACTAAGGAGGTTCTTCGAAAATTAAAAAACAGATTTCTATAAATTTCAGCTATATATTTCAAAGGAGATCTCAAACAAAGTTAGATAGCTAACAAAATTCACAACCAAGAGAAGAGTCCACCTCAGTTCAACTGATATAAAAACACAGTAAAAAGAAATAGTATTCACCATATCATGTTGAGGGATGCCCTCAGTGATACAAACAGCAAGATCCAACTCAGCTTCCATAGCCTCCATAATAGCAGCCGCCGCAAACGGTGGAGGAACATAAATGACTGAAGCATTAGCCTTCGTCTCAGCCTTGGCTTCAGCCACAGAGTTGAAAACAGGCAGCCCCAAGTGTTCCGTTCCGCCCTTCTTCGGCGTCACACCGCCCACCTATTACATTAAACGACAAAGTTTCGATCAAACCTTGAAACTGAAATTAAAAAATAATATTAAAATTAAAAATTAAAACTAAAACGTGCCATTTTGGTGCCGTATTCGATGGCTTGTTCGGTGTGAAACGTGCCGTTTTTACCAGTGATGCCTTGGCAGATAACGCGAGTGTTCTTGTCGACGAAAACAGCCGGCTGATTCGCCGCCGCCGCTGCAGCATAATGGCGAGACTGAGAAGAAGAAGCCGCAGCTCGGCGTGATGCGATGGAGCCAACGAGCTTCGCTAGGGTTTGGCGAGCCATCAGATTCACTTTACTTTCGGATTAATTCTCTCTCTCTGTCTCTCTGTCTCTTAAGGTTCTCAAAGAGTGGAAAAGAGAGGTTTCAAACCAGCCTTGCAGGTCAAATTTTCTTTTTTTCTGAAGTAAAATGCTGGGTTTGGTTTTAATTTTCAGAATGGGCTTTCACTTTTTGTTTTGTTTTTAGAAAACAAGAAAAACAAAATATTTTTAGAAAATAATATAATTTTCTTTAAAGAAAATAATTATCTATTAATTTTTTATTATAAAAAAGATTATAAGATCACAGTATAATTTGTTTTCATAATCTTTTATTTTGAATGAAAATTAAAACCTTGAAATATAGCAAATTATTGTATTTATAATTGATTTTGTATTCTTTTTGAAAGACTACTTAATTATTAATGCAGCACAGTATTGTATTTGTAATATGATTTCATATTTTTAAAATTACAATTATTTACTAATTTTTGTTGAAAAAAGTTGACTCGTTTTCACTATTTTCAGAATAATCATTTAAGGAGGCATCGTAATTTATTTATGAATGAATTCGCATGTGGTGCATTTTGTTGCTGCATTACTATTCTTAACTACTCGGCGAGATTTTAGAATTGGGAAAATGACAAAGTCATCCCTGAGATTTGGCTTAACTACCCCGCAGTCTTATAGAATTTTTTAGTAAACATTTTAATCCCTGTCTGTAATTATTTGGGCCATATTATTAGGGGATCTTACTCACAGACCAAAATGTTACTGATAAGAGACTAAAACACTACTGAAAATTTTTATAAGAATAAAGTGATACTTAAGCCAAACCTCAAAGATGAATTTGTTATAAGAGCGTAATGATTCATATAACAAATGAAATGTAAATATAACACAAAAATCAATCTCGATAACATTATGGGTGTGTTTGGCTCCCTATTTCTACCCATATTACCAATCCTATTCTCCAAATATTGTTTAGCACATTATTCTAGAAATATTACTATATTTTTAATTACTTTTAGATCTCTTAGATTTATTAATTTTATTAAATACCCCCAGAAAAAAGTTTAAAAATTAATAAAAACACCCTCATCAACCCATATTTGCCAGATTCCGACAACCACCGTCAGTGATAGCCGAAATATGTAAAACGGCCTACACCATGACTAGAACTTGACAATAGTTCACCGATCTAGCCTTTTCCTGCCATATCTACAATGGATCTGGCCGTCACAAAGAAATGACCATCGTTGACAAAAAACGACGACCAAATCTTTGGCCGTCGTTGACAACCAAAGATGGACTTCTTTGGCCTTTTCCGGCCGTCGATAGCCACATCTGGCCTTTTCCAGCCAAATTCGTGGTGGATCTGACCAGTCTATGTCGTAACGTAATTTTTTGACTAGATTCCGACAATGGTGGCCAGAATCTGGCACTGTGGGTGGTGGGATGCGGGTGGTGGGGATGTTTTTGTCATTTTATATATTAGCGTGTTTAATTAAATTAGCAAACCTAGAGGTTTTTCTATAAATTTTTAAATTTTACCTCGTAATACTCCCCTATTCAACTACCCAATATTATTCCCAAAATCCTATCCAAAATAATAAACCAAACGCACCCATATCTTTTGCTGAGATAACATTATCGACTCAAAATACTGTAGTAGAATCTTGAAACAATAGTTTCATTTCAAATGAGGAAATCAAAGCCATGGTCTACTCCCTGAGCCAATCATATTCTACTAAAAAATATTTCCATTTTATAAAAAAAATTAAATCAAATCAATTCCACTAGCACTTTAAAGAATTAATATGCAAGCACATTCTCATTCTGGTTAACACTTCCTGAGCTACTAGTAATTAGAATTTAGCTTCCTTCCTAAACACCTGTGCATATCGAATTGATCATCTTGTAAGTAACAAATGAATTTCTCTTCTCATATTATCACCCGGCATGATAATTTAACTTACCCCTCCATCCGGAATCCGATTCCAAATTTTGCCATCTCCCTCATGAATAGAAGCGACGGAATCATATTAGCAGGAATTATAATATCAGTGCCTCGGCTGGGTTCATGCTTTATGGAACTAGGCTTAGCTAGGTTTAGTATCATGACGGTGTTTGAACATTACCTTTACAGAATCTCCATGTTCCATCATCTCGCCTTTTCAAAACATAACGAGTTTTATAGGTGCTGCAATGAAATAAAGAAGACAGAGAAAGGCTCAGAAGGCTAAAGTAACGAGATACAAATACAACAATCATAGAGAACTTGATCCCAAAATATAAGTATTAACAAGAGAACTACAAACTGAGTTAAATCCAGATTTTGACACAATAATCACGTTAAGATGTTAAACCTGCAATAATTTGGGTTCTGAGGCCGAGATTCATCAACAAGCTCCGCCGCTTCCTTTATGAGAGCCTCAATTTCTGCCATTTCCCCAACAATACCATCTGAGAAAACGTCAGCATGCAAGATGGTCAATTGCAGCAAAACAAATCTCCAATAACACGAACTGGATTTTGCTGCATCAGCTTTAGCTTGCCACTGTGAACCGAAAAAACAATATTCAGGTGTTATCACTTCACAGCTTTAGATACAGACTTAAATGTGAATTTCAAAGTTGATTAGGTACAATCAAGGTTTTTAACTTAGAGTTGTGCAGGACTCAAAATATGATTTCTCCAACACTAAAATTCCAAGAAAAGATCCATGAAGTTTCTCTAAGACATCCCATCTTTCCAAATTCATATAAGTAGTGAGTTCTTAAAATTCCCTCCCTATTTAGTATGGTATCCAGAATCTAATGACATCGACAAATAAGGTGTAATGCTGACATTCTAAATACAACCCAAAATTTTCATCCTAAATAATTTGTCCTCATTCATGAGACTGCTGTGTAAATGACAAGTTAAAGTAATATACTGTCAGATATGACACATAAGATGACACATCACTTGAGACAAGAATTTCAAGATATTACTTGGGATGTATAGTATTGCACTATTTTTATGTCGCTGTTTCCTTTCAAGGGTAAATAAACTAAAGAGATAAAAACATAAACTATTGTTAAAACAATTCCAAACACTTTACCTGAACAAGCATTGACTCGTCAAGGACTTCAGAGAGGCTACGAACCTCATGCCTAGGCCCCAAAGCTTCAGCTTTAACTGTTTGCCACTGCCTAACAAGGGCTTCAGCTTCTTCTAAAGGCATTTGTCTCCGGTTTACTGCTGTCATTGAGGTTGATAGACTAGCAGGCAGGCAAACACTTTGTAAGTATCCAGTGTCTGATTTATTCCTGAACTGCGTCTTAACCATTTCCACAAGCTCCTTAAGTCTGTCAGCAATACCACTTCCCTTGATGCGGGAACGCTCTAGATTGCTATTACGAGAAGAATCTTTTTTCCAGACAAGGGAACTTGTTCCCATATTTTGTTGAGTAGAATTCAATTTAGAAGCATTTATCATCCTATTTGACCCCATGCCTGACAGCTTAAATGTAAGGAACATAAAGCACCCCATTACAGTAGCATATGTTATTCCTCCAATTACATTTTTTCCAGCCAACCAACTTTCCCAAACTTTGGTATGGTGTACTCCAAGATCCCTTTTAAATTGAACTGATGGTGCACTGACATTGCTTCCACTACCGTTCTTGGCTGATAGTAATGGGCTTTGCAGATCAGTAGCAGCCAACTGCTTAACTGCAGAACCAAGATGACTAGAAGAGTTAACATAAGGAAGAGAGTCATCAAAATCTCTCCAGTTTGATAAAAGAGAATTTGCAAGTGGTCTTTGGCTTATAGTAGGTGAGGCTTGTGGAGCTACTCTACTTTTCTTGCTCACAGGATTTTTCTTTTCACCCCGAAAAAAATTGACCTGCAGAAGCATACATTAGTAATCATTTCCTTCGGAAGTTGGAGCTATTACGTATTTTGGTACATCATCTCACCAAAGATGGAGAACAATCTTGTGTATCAGAAAATATAGCAAGCACATTATCCTTAAGCCATTTTTCCTGGTCAAGCAAAACAGTGTGACATGAAAGAGCATTAGCGTTGAAGTAAAAAGTGATAGAGAAACAGTTAAGAGAGTGCAGGGCCACTGATCATAAGTATATGTTTATTTGCTCTCAAAACTAACATAAATCATTTTAATGCCTTGAAACCTAAATCAGCAAGCAATAGAGACACCAGTTCACTTGGCACAGTTAAAATTTGCATATGTTAAATTGGTCGGTTCCTCTCTACTGAAGGCCTCCTTTTCCTCTTTCAATGTTGACTTCAAGAGAGAACACGAAAAAGGCCCTAGCTTAATAAGCATATAGAGAAGGTGATAGAGAATCAGACAAAACTTTAGGATAATACTTGTTGGATAGATGATTTATTACTTTTTTAAGATGGATTTGGTTAACTTAGCTAGGTTTTCTTGTTTAAGTATGGTTAAAATACTTCATTAGGTGTAAATTTATAATTCACCATCCTATTCAGCACTTGGTCATTTAAAATAGGCCTATTGTTTTGTCTAGAGGGATGTCGACAGATGAAAGAAATAATACTAAGAATGAATTATCTTCTCTCTAATTTCTTATCTTCCACTAATCCCGGTCTCTCTATTACTTCTCTCAAATTTGTGTTCTTTTAAACCCAATTCTCTTTCCAATCTAATTTATTCAATTCTTTCTCCCCATTCTGTGCCAAAAGGGGGAGTACTAAATAAGGAAAAACATTCTATATATAAATAAGCCCCCATAATGGCTACCATCGCATATTCCACTTATACTGCAATTCATGAGTCTATAATCAAAAGCAAATAAAGGTCTGCACCTAAATATTTTGCTACCTAAGAAAACATATGCAATGATCAATTCAGAACTAAAAAGTAAATGTGAACTGGCAAAGAAGGCCAGCAAAAATATGCATAAGAAATCCCCAGAATAGAGGGGTGCACTTTAGAAGTCTCAGATGGATGTTATAACAGAAATCAAATTCCAATATACAATTAGTCACCTACCAATGATGGAATTGGACCAGAAACTTCTCTTATTTCCTTCCCAGAGAGAGCACTTCTCACGGCAGGATTTGAATTTAATTCCAGCTGACGAAGTTTCTCAAAAGCCTCTGCTTCAGTAGCCTAAAACCAAAGACAAGAATTTGCAAGGCTAGTTGATGAAGAAATGCTAAGAAACAAACTAAAATATCTCGATGAAGTAACATTCAGGTGAAAAAAAACAGAAGAGAATGAAAAGTATACCTGTCCAAGAAGAAACATACAAAAAGCTCCCTCAAATTTTAGATCAATACCTTCTGATGCAATCAAACACTCGCATATAGTTTTTGCCTTGTTAATCTGCAGAAAAAATTAGGTAACAAAATAGTATCAGAAATAAATAACATAAAACAATCATCAAAAAACTTACTCACGACACAATCGCATGCACACAAACACAGAGCAGTACATCCTAGTAGCAAATCTGCATACAAGAATTACCCATTCAATTTGTTTGCTTGAGAATCCAAGAGCAAGATGAGCTATCAATGCCATGTAGAAACAGTCAAAATCAATTACAACTTTTTGATTCTGTGACTCAATTGATTTTTTGTTCTTCCGTGTAATTGCCAAATTATCCCAGGGAAGAAGATCAACTATTTCTGTAGCCATCAACCTGTTAAGAGCTTGGCTCAAAAAGCACGGCCAATCTTGAACTTGGCAAGAGGTTTCCACATCCAACCCTTGTCTGAGCAATTCACGCAAAGCTGCAATAGCTCCTCTTCTCCGTTCAGCATTTTCAGGTGAGTGAGGCATGCCTAATAGTTCCAACGTGCAAGCAGGAGCAAGCTCTTCCAAAGATTCTTCTATCTGAAAATGGCAAACAAATTTATGTACACAGTAAGTTACCTGGTAACAAGTACAGCATTATAATAGCAACTAGCACCATTTTCAGCAACATCTTATGTTATAGACCGTCTTATTCACTGAATTTCCATCAATTGCAAAAAAATTCTACGCTCAATGAAGAAAAGGATGTGAATAATTGCTTTGAAAAAAGGAGACTTGTGATTAGCATTTAAAAACATGAAGACTGGTGTAGACTGAACCATGCAGATAGATTCCAGATCCTTGAAAAGAGCAGGTCCAAAATCACACAAAAGATAAAAGCATCACCTGTGACAATAATGGCATCTTCCCAAGAGATATATTACTCCTCAGAAGACACTGAGCACGAGCAAGAGCTTCAAATCCTTGGGACACCTTGCTCTTCTCGAAACCAGTCTTTGCAATTGCACACTTCAAGAAAGCACCTATGATAAGAAAATGACGCATAGCAAAACTTCCATAAAATTGGTACAAGGTCCTGAACTCTATGCTAATTCATCTTACCTCAGCTAGTGCCATAGATAGAAGAAAATCATGAACATAGGGCTTAGCATTTGGATGATGAAGAGCTGACCGGCCCAGATCTAACACAATCTTCTCTTCTCCAACCTGGACCAAAGAAATCGGCAGACCATCATATCCATCTCCCGAAACAAACACTTTTTATGGTAAAATGCTCCAAGATTAGATAAAATAAGAAAGCTTTCCACATTTTATGATAATAAGAGAAGGATGATATGATACCTGAAAGATTAATCAACATTCAGAGAAGTGCTGCAATGCAAGAGAATAATATAGCTGCTAACTATTATTTAATTAATTTCCAAAAAGAATATAATGCTTCCGCACTTATAAGACAAAAGACTTTCCTCAACCAGTAAAATTTGCAGCAAATGCCAAGTAAAAGTACATGCAAAGTTGCACCTCTTGAAGGAGGCAAAGTGCACCAGGCAACCAAGCCCATGGGATTCTTAGGGGGCACTTAGGCGGAATCTTTTCCTTCTTGTTGCCAGCATATTCAGGTTCAAAAAGAAGCTTATCTCTTACATCCATCAAAAGATCCTGCAAGCCAAGAAAAGAATATAAAAATCTAAATGCTATGACTAAGTCATGCCATTTCTTTCATACATATGGACAAGATCTAAAGAATCATGACAACTACAGCATGATTACACTCTCAAATTCTCACCTGGCGGGCTACAACAGCATCCATTGTGTAACCTTCCTCAATCTCAGCCCTTTTCAAATTCATCACTGCCTTAACAATCTCATCTTTCTCAGCTTTGTCCGGAACACCAATAAGCTGCAAGTATATAAATTAGGAAGTGCGATAACTAAAAAAAGTCAAAATGGATAGTTCTTGTACAAGGTAACACAGGTGATTAAGGCGTAAGTGATTCTTTTTTCCAACAGTTATCAACTCCAAAAGAACTCTTTCTGAAAGTAGAATGGAATCTGAAAAAAAACTCATTCTAAGACTAGAATGGAGTCTGAAAAAGTTAAAACGGGGTAGAACTAGGGCAGTAGGGCTAGCAAAAGAGAGCAGAGCAGAGATGGTTTCCCTTCTCATCCCCGGGGAGGGGAAAACTAAACAAAAAGAAAGAAAGGCTATAAATTCAAGTTTGATCAGTGAAACTAAACAAACAAAACATTCCCATAGACAAGATCAAAAATAGGAAGGCCAAAGACAAGCAACCAATGCTGTCGTATTGGTCATATCAGTAATGCCCGAGATCATACTAGAAATATAACCTTATTTTAATACACAAAAAGCATTATTGCCACATGTCACCATCTCTGCATCGTTAATTAACCCGGTACTTCACCAGCCAAATAGTCTCCTTGATACAAAATAACACAAATTTTACATTTCCATAATTGTTAATTTTACTCGCCTTACCAGAGTCAGTTCCAGTCCGAAAACACTAAAATTTAGCTTAAACTGTTAACAAAATTAAATTTTCCACATTATGCCACTACTTTTAACACTAAATCACAAACAGCAGTTAATTCAGTTAAAGTTAACGGCACAAGCAACAATACATAAAATCCAATCAAATAACCTGGAAACAAGTGACGGGAATATCAAAGGTGGCAGTTGCAGCAGTAGATGCGGCGGCGTTTTCAACGATGCGAGTGTCAATCGCGTGCGATCGCCAGTTCGCACCGACAAAACGAGTCCTTCTCGAAGAAAAACAACAAGAATTTCTATAACAAATCCTAGAAGATGACGATGACGATGATGATGCTCGTTCGAGACCAAAACCAAATCCAGAAACCTTGGCGTCAGACGTCTCGAAATTGCCGCTGATTTTGCTCCTGCTACAAAGACAAGCAAAAGGAGATGATGAACAGGGGACTACGGCTATGGCTACCGCATTGCTGACTGTCATTGTAACGGTTGATTCTAGTGATGCTAAACTGAAACCCTAATCATCTGAAGCAAAATTGTTCGAATTTGTTGAAGAATGGGGAAAAGTTCCCGATTTGCCTTTGTGAGTTTGAGAACTAAAGAAACTGTTAATTCTATAACCGTTGCTTTCTAAAGATTAAATATAAAGAAATTAGGAAATATTTTGCAAATATGTCCCTCTACTCATCCGGAATTAAAGGTTTAATCTACGTAGACCCTCATCCTTTGATTTATTGATACTCTGGCCCAACGCGATTATTTATAATTTTATATTATTAAAGCTGGAGCTCCGAGGTCCGAGCTCGGGGTTTGGACTCGGATTCCGAGAGAAAGTTGGATCGAGTTGTGCGGTTGGGTTTAAGAGGCTCGGTTTTATTTATGACTTATGTAATAAATATATTAAGAATTTTTAAAATGCACTAAAAAATTAATGAAATTAATATGTTATACAATTCATGAATGAATCCCTTCGAGTTTTGATTAAAAATAAAAAATTTCACATAAGGTTTCTGAAATAACAAAGATATTATACTACTAAATTTTATGCACTAAAATAGAATCTTAAGAGTAATTCAATAAATATTCTTTGATTCATAAAAGTGAAGTTCTAATGATTCATTAACAATCGAAGGACTTTTTCCCACCTGAATAATGATGTACTAACACTTTCTCACCCTCCCACTTTTAAAATACTATTTTGCTATCTAAATGTTAAATTCTATTAACAGTTCCCATTAAAAACAGTGATATTCATTATAAATACAAAACTACCCCCACCAAAGATCAACCTCATATCGCTAGTCATCGCAATTCAAAGTTTCACATCCCTCAACCCAAATTTCGACCGATTCCAACACCAAAAATTGACATTGTCACCACCATTCAACTTACTAGCATCCTTCTAACAAAACCCCTTTCACCCCCACCCACAATCATCCTTCAATAGCCAGTGCCACTTGGAGTGGGGCAATTCATCAAGCACTTGGTATGCGCTGATGAAAGAGTGTAAAATGGTCGTCGTCGTCGTCAATGAAAACAACAAAAAACCAACATAGTCAATCCTTAAATATTCAATAAGCCCAAACACACCTCAAAGAAACATCAAATCAAAGTCAATTTCATAGAAAAACAAAAATCCAGTCACAACAGTGGAGGCGAGTTTAACCGGCAATCAACAGGCTAACAAGTGACGGGGTTTGGGGGGTTTTGTAGTGTGGAGTTCAATGGTTTGAATGGTAGTGTTGGATTGGATTTTGGTCGTCATTAGCCACCGGAATTTGACTTAGAACAATGAAACCCTAACAAGGCGCTGGCCGACGAACAGTGGGAGGAGAGGCTTAGGAACATTAGGGGTTTTGGTCTGTCGATGAAGGCAAAGTTGTTGGAGGGGTTAAGGAAAGTCAACAACTCTGGATTCCGACTAAAACAAGCTAGAGAAGGGGACACGCGCCTGAGGACTCCAATGGTGGGTTCGATGAGGACAATGGAAGATTGGTTTTGATGAGGGAGGCACGAGGAACAAGATGGTGGTGGTAGGGAGTTGCAACAATGTCGGAATCGGCCGATGACGCAAAAACGACAGTTGCAATCAGAGGAGGGGAGATGAAGAAGATGGTTAATTAATGTATTTGACCATCATGCCTTTACTTATAAGACACTTTTGAACATTCTATCCTTTTTCACAAAAAAATTTACAAACAAAATTGAACTTTGGATAGTAGAGTGGTATTTTAAAAGTCTAAGGGTGGGAAATTGTTATTAAACAGTTATCCAGGTGGGAAAAAGTCTTTAAATCTTTTTGTTATTTTAAAAATGTTATAGGGTGCATTTAGTTTAGGGAATATTGTATTATTGAAAATGTTATATTAATGAGAAGATAGATTACCTTGAAGATTGCTGTGAGGGTGCGTTTGGATCAGGGTCATATAAGATAACAGGGGTAATCTTCGTTTATTTTGCAAGATTCCATTGTTTGGTTTGCAAGTAATAAAATATTATGGATATCTTTTATTGCAAATAGTGTTTACTATTGGTAATGTAGGGAGTAATCAGATACCTTCCCCAGCGGCAGTTATTAAAAGATTACTGAGATAATATGATAGTTATACCTATTTTGCCCTTAATTAGATATCATTTCGGACACAATTACTCTCAAATGTCTATCAAATAACAATTACCCAACTCCCTTACATTTGAGAAATTAGCTAAAACACCCCAACCACAAAAAAGTTTAAAAGTTAACAAAATACCCCTAGCCACCCAAGACCACCGCTGGTGGTAGTCATTGTAACGATGCACAACTGGCGGGATCTGGCCAGTCATGCATTGGTAAGGCCGTTTCTGGCCATGGATTTGTGATCATGGTTGGAAACAACCAGATCTGGTCATTTCACAACTAAAGATTTAGTCGTGGAACGGCCAGATCTGTGGCCATTTCACAGCCACATCTTTGGCCGTGAAATAGCCATAGATTTGGCCATGAAACAGCCATAGATTTGGCCATGAAACGATAGATCCATGGTCGGAAATGGCTTTGCCGATGCATAGTCGGCCATTTACGGTTGGTAGTGCGTCATTTCATCGACTATCGATGACGACCGACAATGATGGCTGGCTACTAACAATGGCTTGGGGTGGGTGGGGGTGATTTTACCATAAATTCAAGTTTTATATGACTAGGGTGTTTTAGCAAAATTTCAAATTTAGGGGGTTAAAAAAATGATTCAGAAAATAATAATAAAAATAATTTTATATTGATATTTAAAAAGGATGGCAATTTAGTAATCTATATAACATACACACCCCTTTATCCTCCCAACCAAACATATAAATATAATATACTCACCAATTTATTCGAACCAACCAAACACATTTCCTTAAATATTCCCAGTAATCTTCAAGTTGATCTATCTTTCCATTAATATAGCATCATCTTAAAATAAGCCATTATATGATCCAAACGCACCCTCAGTGTTATATTAAATGTGTTTTGTTAGATTTGAATAAATTAGTGGGTATGTTATATCGATATGTTTGGTTAAGGATAATAAATTGGTAGGTATGTTATATAAATTACTGAATTGACCTTTTTTTTTTAATATTAATAATATTATTATTATTTGGATTATTATTTTAACCCCTTACATTTGAGATTTTGCTAAAATACCCAGTCACAATAAAAGTTTAAATTATAATAAAAACACCCCTACTTACCAGGCCACTGTCGGCCGTCGGCCACCACTATCGACTGTGGCTTGAACGGCGCACAATCAACCATATTTGGCTAACCGTGCACCGATTTAGGCATTTTTGGCTAGATCTATGACCATTAATACTAGAAACGGCTAGATCCACGAGCATTTGGCTATTTCTGGCCAAATCAACACAGAACCGCCAAGATCCGACTAGTCATGCACCGTTTTGACAATGTTGGCAGTGGTGGCCAGATCCGACCATCTGTCTTGGGTAATTAATTCAAATTCAAGGGTAAAATGTCCTAAAAATCTTGTATACAAGAATAAAATAGTCCATAAATATTATTGTAAATTGTGTTAAGAACAAGGGCATTACTGTCCAGAAATTTTAATGGTTAGGAGTAAAATTGTAACAAAATTAAGATTTCTAAGTAATCTCAGAATACCTAAGAAAAAAATGGTATTCAGATTACCACTTATGTAATCAACAATGATTACTATTGATTTTGAAAGATCACTAAAATTTTATATTATTTGACAATCAAACATGATAATGTCAGTAATATAAGATCACATTACTAGAGTAATGAGAGATAACCCGAACCAAACAGCCCCATAGAGTTTTGCTATTACTTCGTACCAAAGGTCAATCTACTTAAGTCATATGTTATGAATATATGTGTGTATATATGATTATTAACATTATAAAATTCATATGACATATATAAATTAATATATTTTTTTAATAAAAAGCATAAACTTGGGTATTAGAGTACTGAGTTTAAACCTAAATACATCTTAAGTTTAATTACATTATAATAAGAATCTATAAATTTAGTGTGTGTAATATAATGTATTTGGAGGTGATTTTGTTTTAACTCATTTATTTCTTTGTTCGGTTGATAAATAAAATGATGTTGAATTTTGGTAGCTTTAGAAAATGCCCTCCAAAATTAGTTATTTAGGTTGATTGACCTTAACCAAAGCTAAGCAAAAGAAAGGGGAGTTGAATTTTGCAATTATGCCCCTCTATTAGGCGAAATTAAACTTTGATGTGTGGCTCTTAGTGAAATGGAGTGCTTGGCACGTCCAAATCTTTGTATAGATATAGACTAACTGTGGGCTTTTTGCAGCCCGATCAGGCCCATAAGCCCGGTGTCAAGTTGATTTTCATTGACTAATGACTATACAAATCCGAGGATCTCACCTTACAATAATATCATACGTATAAATAGGTTTTACAAACAGAAAATGAATAAAAAAGTGAATATAAAAAGTCAAACTTATTATATCCATTCTGATAAGAATCTAAGTCTATTGTGTTCTTTAAACATGCAAGAGTGTTCATTGAAGATTCAAGAAGCTCAAGCTTTACAAGGAGGACAACATTCGACTCAAGCACTCAAGGAAGCTCACAAACTTGTTAAATACAAGTTTACAACATACGCTAACTATTGTTACCTTTTCAAATTATACATTACCTTTGAACATGATTATGTTACAAGTATGTTAAAGTAAGATCGAACTTCTCCTAATAAAGCTGATTAAGATCCAACTTTGGGTATAAAATATATTAAAGTGAGGAGCAATACTATATATATAACAAAATCTTTTATACAAAGTGATGTAGCATAAAATAAATGGAAGAATGTGATATGAATTCATGCAACCTCAATTCATGTATCACCTTATTTCAACTCAACATAAGCTAGGATTCACTTGCAACACCCTAACACAAATCCAACCAACACTCCACAAGCACACATAACCCTTATGACAATTTAAA